CACTCCACAAAATCAAGAAAGCAAGTAAACTTTACATAGAGGGAACCAGAAAGATAAAGGTGACCGTTGGTTCTCAAGAGCCTCTAAAAATCCAAATTTGTGAATTACTGGATGCATTATAGCCCTCTTAAATACACTAAAGACACCAGATCCTGCCTAACTTTGGACACTAAGCAAGGTCAGTCCTACCTAGTGCTTGGACGGGTGACCAACTAATATCAGGTGGGTGGATGGGGGATGTATTTCAGAGGAAAGAACTGGCAAAACCAAAGTAGATTCAACTGCTAAGTGATTTTATCCATTGTACACAAACATTCACATGCACTCATAATCTTTTCCAAATAACTGGCAATCATTCCAGTGCAGGTGTTTTGGCCACTGTTCAGTACTAGAGGAGGAAAGAGGGAGAAGTACAACCGAACAATTGGAGGTACCCTAGCACAAAGTTAAACTGTAACAGTCACAATACTCATCAAAACAGGTGCACTACAGGTATAGCATGTTTTATACTTTAACAAATTCATTATTACTATGACCAATTATTTGTATATTTACAAACCTTATAACATTATTTGTGTCGAATATAGTTTGCAAAAAAATGCATAAACTGTACAAGGAACTTGTTTTGCTATCATCAAAATATGAACACTTTGAAAATCAATATAGGCTGGCATTGCAAGACCAATTCATCAAACAGCAAAGCCATGGCGATGTTCTGACAGTATGTTATACAGTAAAAATAAATAAATGCATTATATAGATAAATCTATCCTTTTTAGTGAAATACTTGACTCAGATAGCAAAAATGACTCATCAATCATGGCTGCTTAAGTGTCCAATCCCATCCTCCGTCTCATTCAGTTTTAAGAATAACAACTCAGAAATCATCTCAGAGTAAACAACTAAGCTTGAATCTTTCTCTTGGGACAAGCATGATAGAACTGTATTATTTAATCATTGTCAAACTAATATAAAAAAGTTCAAATTTCTGAGAAAAAAATCAAAGGATATGCAATATTATAAATATAATTTGAGAAAGTATACCACTGATATGAGGAGTAATCCACTTATTCACATATTATGCTGAGATAAACTCAGGCTCTCAAGAGATCAAAGGTGGGCATCTCAAACACTTGAGGTTTCAATCCAACCTTCTGGGCCCTACATTTTGCTATTTCTGAATTTTCTTACAGGACAATTGAAATGTCCCTCTTTATGGTCAGCTGCTAGCAGTAAGAGCGTCAAGCTAAAATATTGTGGCATTGCTGGTCTCATTCTTTTGGTACTGGCCCAATTGCTAGTAGGAGTTTAGTTTGGCCCACAAAATGAAAGGATTTTCCTACCCTTACACGAGATTAACACTTCCAGATGAAGAGCTCATAAAGGTACTAATAAAAGCATTGCATAGCTATTCTGTCTTTCCTTCTAGTTTTTTATGGTGAAGAAAATAAGCAGTGGGGGAGGGGATGAGAGGGTTCTAACTGATCCAGGCCTCTTCCACACAGCCATATGACACAGAATATCAAGGCAGATAATCCACAATAACTGCTTTGAACTGGGTTATCTATTACCCCTTCCACACAGCTGTATAAAATCCACATGGAACTGGATTATTTGGCAGTGTGGACTCAGACAGCCCACTTCAAAGCAGATATTGTGGATTATCTGCCTTGATATTCCGGGTCTTATGGCTGTGTGGAAAGACCCTGAGTCCACACTGCTATATAATCCAGTTCAATGTGAATTTTATACAGCTGTGTGGAAACAGCCTCAGAAGAGCACATATCTAGAAGGAGGACTGAGATAGTCTCTCACTCTTGAAACTCTAATGTGTTGGTACATTTTATATTGACGTCTAGTGCCATAATCCCAAGAAAGCAGAACATCTTGGGCCTCTTCCACACAGTTGAATAAAATCCCACATTATCTGCTTTGAACTGGAATATATGGCAGTGTAGACTCTGACAACCCAGTTGAAAGCAGGTATTGTGGGATTTTCTGTCTTGATATTCTGGGTTATATGATTGTGTGGAATGGCCCTGGGAATGAATATCATAAATGTTTTGTCTTATCTTCTAATACAAAAGCCACATAAACAAACATAAAGAGTAAGAAAAATAAGTTTACACCAAGTTAATCCCAAGTTTCTGAAAAAAACTTTTTGATAATTAGAGAAAACATGCAGAAGATGATGAAATAAGCTATTTATACTTTTTAAAGTGCAGCCTTGAGAGTCCTCCATAATCTACCAATTACTCGAAAGAGCAGGTGAGTAGTACGCAAGGTCATTTAAAGGATTAGATATTTATCAGTTTTGGGATGAGAGAAAGCGGCAACAGGAAATGCTGCTAAAGAGAAAAACTGTATTTAGATCCAGTCTGCAGGACTCATCCATAAGCCTAACTGCATTCTTCCTCAGGTGTGCACTATACTCTGTTATCTCAGGGCCCTTCCACACAGCCCTATATCCCAGAATATCAAGGCAGAAAATCCCACAATATCTGCTTTGAAATGGGCTATCTGAGTCCACACTCAGATAATGTGGGATTTCCTGCCTTGATATTCTGGGATATAGGGCTGTGTGGAAGGGCCCTCAGTCCATTGCTCTGAAGGGACATGAGTTCATGCAGAATGTTGCATTTCACAGGCCTGAAATTATACTGCCACACTTTTTGAAGCATACATTGATAATAAGATTGGGGAGTTCAACTAGTATCCTCAAGCTGCAGGGAGAGGCGGGTAAGAAATAAAGTTGTTGTTATTTGATATACAATATGATTAGTACACAGCAAACAAGATCACTATGTTGGCTTTTGTACTGGATCACACATCGGACACTTCCCAAGTGTAAAGGACTGTGTGATATATTGGTGAATAATGTGTGCAGATCCCAGTAGGATAGCTTTTGCAGCTGACAAATGGTAATTTTGTCAATGCTGATTGTGTTTAAGTGTAGGCCATGGTCTTTAGGCACTGCACCCAGTGTGCCGATCACCACTGGGACCACGTTTACTGGTTTGTACCAGAGTCTTTGCAGTTTGATCTTTAAATTTTATTTATTTATTTATTTACGGCATTTATATGCCGCCCTTCTCACCCCAAAGGGGACTCAGAGCGGCTTACAATATATATTTTCATACAATATATTATATTATTAGTATAGTACAATATCAGTATATATTACTATATTGCACTATACCATTATATTGTAATATTATTAGTAATATTACATGTAATTAAATATATAATTATAATTTAATTATAATTAAATCCTAATATTGTGACAGCTTTTCCAGTTGTTTCTCTCCAATCCTGCTGTCGCCTGGGATTGCAGCATCGATGATAAATACTTTGTATTGTCGAAGTATTTCATGGCGGGAATCACTGAGCTGTTGTAGGTTTTTCGGGCTGTTTGGCCATGTTCTAGAAGCATTCTCTCCTGAGGTTTCACCTGCATCTGTGGCAAACATCCTCAGAAGTTGTGAGGTTTGTGTCAGATGCAGATGCAGGCAAAACGTCAGGAAAGAATGCTTCTAGAACATGGTCATACAGTCCGAAAAATCTACAACAACCCAGATCCATACTTGTTTTTCCCCCCACGATCGTGAGATCAAGAGTACTGTGCTCCAAAACTACTGTCAGTCTGAATTCGGAAGTCCCAGAGTAGTTTGATGTGTTCATTTTCAGTTACTTTTTCTGGCTTGTGATCCCACCAGTCCTTTGTCACAGGCAGATGGTATTTGTGGCACAAGTTCCAATGGATCATCTGAGTAACAGTATTATGCCTCTGTTTGTAGTCTGTGTGCACGATCTTCTTACAACAGCTAACGATTCAATCTGCTTCCTTGAAGAGTCTACACTTGGGATCTGTTGTGGACTTTTTAATTCTGGCTTTTATTATTATTATTATTATTAGTCTATATATTCGACTTTTTAATTCTGGCTTTTTATTATTATTATTATTATTATTATTATTATTACTATTATTATTCATCTGTGCTCAGAATGGGAATTTCAACTGGCATTCTGTGCTCATACGTTATCAGCGATCCTACATAAAATAAAAGGCAACTTTGCAAAGATGTCCAATTAAAAATAAACAGTTTAACTTTAAATTGTTTCAAATCTGAAAAACTAGGAACAGAATATAATTATATAGAAGCTTCAATTGAGACCTACTGCATGCTACTGTGAAAACATATCGTCTCACGGTCCAAAACAGATAATAGCATGAAAGACATGTATTTTCTAATTTAAAATATTAAAGCGTACCATCTCACGGCCCAAAACAGATTTTTAAGGATTCAATTGTGCTGGTTAAAATGGTAGACATAAATTCTTCATGCAGCTCCCTCCACCTGCTGACCAAATATGGATAGTACTACTATTAAATATGAATTAAATTGCATCGGGATTATTTACCTTACTTATATGAAACAGCCTAAAGATAGACAAACATGGGACATGGAGATGGTCTCATTTCTGCACCTCAATCCTGGTGGGCGGTTTCAGCACATCACCAATGTGTTTGGAAGTGATATGATGCTACTTCCTTTTTGTCTGTTTGTTTCAGCTGGTTCACAGAAGTTTGTAAATGTCACCGCAAGTTGAAATGGCATGTTTTCAGGCTGTCTGGAGCCATCCTGGGAAAATTGGGAATAGAAAATGCAACCTACCCAACAGTGGGCAGAGGGCAGAGCATAGAGAAGGCCTAGGCCAACTTGAGCCCTCCAGGTGTTTTGGACTTCAACTCCCACAATTCCTAGCAGCCTACCGGCTGCTAGGAATTGTGGGAGTTGAAGTCCCAAACACCTGGAGGGCTCAAGTTGGCCCAGGATGATGTAGAGCCAGTCTCCTGCTTCGTGTGTTCTTCCATCACTTCAGCCACATCGAACACACTCTGACCTGTCTTGGTTTTCCTCTGTGACTTTATGAAGGGATTTTTTGTCCCAACTGTGAGGGAAAAACCAGCGGTGCAAACAAGGCCCGTCTCGCCTCACCTGCCCAGGTTTCGTGCTTTGGGATGCGGTAGTACTGGTTCCCGAAGGGGTCGCTGCCCACATACTCTTTGGCCGGACCGAAAGCGCGGAGCTTCACGGAGCGCAACAGCCGCCAAACCGCGCTCATGGCGCCGAGGCTCTGACAGGCCGCAGGCAAGAGAGGCCACGCCCCGTACTCAAAAAAGCCCCGCCCACAAAGGAAGAAACCGTTGGGCTATACGCCACGCCCCCAAACTTGAAGCCCCGCCCATTAGAGAAGACAACGGACTTCACGCCACGCCCCCAAATTTGATGAAGTCCCGCCCACTAAGGGTTGTACGCCACGCCCCCAAACTCCATGAAGCCCCGCCTACAAGGGAAAACCTATCGCCCCAACTTAAGCATTCCCCCTGCTCTCTGGACTTCCGCCCGGTCTAAACATGGCGGCAGCGGGCAGCAGTAGAACGATAGAGGGGCGGGGCTTGATCTCAGGGATCTGGGCAGAAGGAGAGAGAGAGAGAGAACGAAGGCTGTTGGCAGGCTTGCTTCTTTCTTTTGCTCTTTATCCCTCTTCCTTCCTTCTTTCCTTTCCCTCCCACCCTCTCCCTTCCCTCCCTCCTCCTTCCTTCCCTCTTTTTCTCTCCCTCCTTCCCTTTCTTTTTCCCTCCCTCTTCCTTCAAAATCAAGATCCAGTTTCATAGAATCATAGACTTGGAGGAGACCTCCTGGGCCATCCAGTCCAACCCCATTCTGCCAAGAAGCAGGAATATTGCATTCTAGTCACCCCTGACAGATGGCTACCCAGCCTCTGCTTAAAAGCTTCCAAAGAAGGAGCCTCCACCACACTCCCTCCGGGCAGAGAGTTCCACTGCTGAACGGCTCTCACAGTCAGGAAGTTCTTCCTCATGTTCAGATGGAATCTCCTCTCTTGTAGTTTGAAGCCATGGTTCCCTTGCGTCCTAGTCTCCAGGGAAGCAGAAAACAAGCTTGCTCCCTCCTCCCTGTGGCTTCCTCTCACATATTTATACATGGCTATCATATCCCCTCTCAGCCTTCTCTTCTTCAGGCTAAACATGCCCAGCTCCTTAAGCCGCTCCTCATAGGGCTTGTTCTCTAGACCTTTTATCATTTTAGTCGCTCTCCTCTGGACACATTCCAGCTTGTCAATATCTCAGGGAGGCCACGCCCCTCGCGCGCTTCACGCCCCAACTCAAAAAAGGCCCCGCCCACAAAGGAAAGAAACCGTCGGGCTATACGCCACGCCCCCAAACTGGTTGAAGCTCCGCCCATTAGAGAAGACAAGGGACTACACGCCACGCCCCCAAACTTGATGAAGCCCCGCCCACTAAGGAAGACACTAGAGACGCTGCGAACACGAAGAAGCCCCGTCCACAAAAGGGAGAAGGATTGAGCTACAAGCCACGCCCCCAAACTCCATGAAGCCCCGCCCACGAGAGAAAAGCATTTGGGATACAAGCCTCGCCCCCTGACCGCCACAAAGTCCAGCCCACAAGAGGAAAATCTTTGGGCTACAAGCCACGCCCCGATCTCCATAAAGCCCCGCCCACGAGAGAAGACATTTGGGCTACAAGCCACGCCCCCGAACTCCATGAAGCCCCGCCCACGAAACCTTTGAGCTACAAGCCCCGCCCCTACCTGCATAAAGCCCCGCCCCGACCTCCATAAAGTCGCGCCCACAAGAGAAGGCATTTGGGCTACAAGCCACGCCCCCGAAATCCATGAAGCCCCGCCCACGAGAGATATTTGTGCTACAAGCCACGCCCCCGAAATCCAAGAAGCCCCGCCCACGAGAAAAGGCACTATTAGGTTTAAGACACGCCTCAAAGTCCATGAAGCCCCGCCCACGAGAGAAAAACACTTGGGCTACAAACCACGCCCCGGCCTCATAAAGCCCCGCCCCCCGACTTCCATAAAGCCCCACCCACGAGAGAAAAACCTTTGGGCTACAAGCCCCGCCCCAAACTCCATAAAGCCCCGCCCCCGACCTCCATAAAACCCCGCCCACGAGAGAAGACGTTTCGGCTACAAGCCACGCCCCCTACCTCCATAAAGCCCCGCCCACTAGAGAAGAGGAGCCCCCGGTGGCGCAGTGGGTTAAACCCCTGTGCTGGAAGGACTGAAGACCAACAGGTCACAGGTTCGAATCCAGGGAGAGGCGGATGAGCTCCCTCTATCAGCTCCAGCTCCTCATGCGGGGACATGAGAGAAGCCTCCCACAAGGATGATAAAACATCAAATCATCCGGGCGTCCCCTGGGCAACGTCCTTGCAGACGGCCAATTCTCTCACACCAGAAGCGACTTGCAGTTTCTCAAGTCACTCCAGACATGTCAAAAAAAAAAAACGAGAGAAGACAGTTGGGCTACAAGCCACGCCCCCGAACTCCATGGAGCCCCGCCCACGAGAAAAGGCACTATTGGGTTATAAGCCACGCCCCAAACTCCATAAAGCCCCGCCCACGAAAGAAGGCCTTTGGACTACAAGCCACTAAGAAGCCCGACCCAACTAAGGGAAGACGCGCCTCCGACATCCGCGAAGCCCCGCCCACGAGAGAACTTTGGGCAACAAGCCGCACCCCCGACCTCCATTAAGCCCCGGCTATTAGAAAAGGCACTATTAGGGGAGAAACCGTGGAGGCCGTGACAGACTTTGTACTTCTAGGTGCAAAGATTACTGCAGATGCAGACTGTGGCCAGGAAATCAGAAGACGCTTACTTCTTGGGAGGAGAGCAATGTCCAATCTCGATAAAATAGTAAAGAGTAGAGACATCAGACTGGCAACAAAGATCCGCCTAGTCAAAGCCATGGTATTCCCTGTAGTAACCTACGGATGTGAGAGCTGTTAGGGAAGGCTGAGCGAAGGAAGATAGATGCTTTTGAACTGTGGTGTTGGAGGAAAGTTCTGAGAGTGCCTTGGACTGCGAGAAGATCCAACCAGTCCATCCTCCAGGAATAAAGCCCGACTGCTCACTGGAGGGAAGGATACTAGAGACAAAGTTGAAGGACTTTGGCCACATCATGAGGAGACAGGAAAGCCTAGAGAAGACAATTATGCTGGGGAAAGTGGAAGGAAAAAGGAAGAGGGGCCGACCAAGGGCAAGATGGATGGATGGCATCCTTGAAGTGACTGGCTTGACCTTGAAGGAGCTGGGGGTGGTGACGGCCAACAGGGAGCTCTGGCGTGGGCTGGTCCATGAGGTCACGAAGAGTCGGAGACGACTGAACGAATGAACAACAACATTAGAAAAGGCACTATTAGGTTATAAGCCACGCCCCCGAATTCCACGAAGCCCCTCCCACTAAAGATGAACCATTGGGCTCCCACCGTTTGCTACAAGCCACGCCCCCAAACTCAAAGAAGCTCCGCCCACTAAGAGGGAGGCACCTCGCCCATCTTCCTCATGGCACAACTCATCCCGAGACTCTTGTGCCCTAGAGATAGTAAAATGTGGACTGACCCATCGTGTTGTGGACTTCGATTCCCAGAATCCCTTCTCATTGGCCATGGCAGCTGAGGCTTCTGGGAGTTGAAGTCCCAAAACCTATTTTTGCATATGGCTCTATATTTCACTTTGTGAAATTCTGAAATTTGTAGTCCAGGGAGGGGCATTTGTAATCTCCCACCCGCGGAGCTTTGAAACCTTGTTGAACTACAGATTTCTAGAAAACGAAAAACGAAGGCAGCTTGAATGGAGAAGAATTCCTGTCAGGTGATCCGCGTCGACGTCGAAGCAACAAGGCGCCCCATTGGCCGAGAGGCAGCGCTCGCAGCCAATGGCCGTTCGAGCGCCACTCGGCATGGCGGCGCCGGGACGGCTGAGGTTTCCGGATCCCTGCCATGCTGGGCTTTCTCTCCGCCCGCCAAGCGGGTTTGGACGATCCGCTAAGGCTTCGCCGGGCTGAGTCGACCAGGAGGTATTCCTTCCCCTTTGCCTGAGATATCTACAGAAGGGCACGGGCCAACTTGGGCCCTCCAGGTGTTTTGGACTTCGACTCCCACCATTCCTAACAGCCTCAGGCCCTTAAGCTTAAGCGGCTGAGGGGGAAAAGGAAGGGGCCTGAGGCTGTTAGGAATGGTGGGAGTCGAAGTCCAAAACACCCCGAGGGCCTAAGTTGGCCCATGCCTGATCTACATTGTAAGCCAATACCCCACATTGGTATCTTCCATTGAAACTGATAATAAGGTTTCTGGACATCATTTCTTAGGGTTATCCAGTCTTTCACCCAAATGTATGTGCATGCTTCAAAATGCAACTCTATTTATTTATTTACCCTATTTGTACCCCACCTTTCTCTACCCCAAAGTGGATTCAAAATGGCTTACATAGAGACAATTATTCAGTCATAATACTTACTTACTTACGTAGGCGATCCTTCGTTGGTCGAGGAGGATAGGCTTCCAGGATCAGAATTCTTGTGAGTCTGTAGGTAGCTATGGAGCCCTATTCTTGCTCTGCATCTTCTTCCGCAGCGAGGGCATTGGTTTCCAGGTGGAAGGCGGTCTCGATCAGGGTTGGCTTGATGCGCCTTCCTCTTGGCACGCTTCTCCCTTTCGCCCTCCATTCGTGCCTCTTCAAATTCTGCAGCACTGCTGGTCACAGCTGTCCTCCAACTGGAGCTGTCAAGGGCCAGGGCTTCCCAGTTCTCTGTGTCTATGCCAGAGTTTTTAAGGTTGGCTTTGAGCCCATCTTTAAATCTCTTTTCCTGTCCTCCAACACTCCATTTTCCATTCCTGAGTTCGGAGTAGAGCTTTGGGAGACGGTGGTTGGGCATCCGGACAACGTGGCTGGTCCAGCGGAGTTGGTGGCGGAGGACCATCGCTTCAATGCTGGTGGTCTTTGCTTCTTCGAGCACACTGACATTTGTCCACCTGTCTTGCCAAGAGATTTGTAGGATTTTCCGTAGGCAGCGCTGATGGAATCGTTCCATGTCCACGTTTCGCAGGCATATAGCAGGGTTGGGAGGACAATAATTAAAGAAAGGAAAAATTGGAAAAGCTGACACGATATGAGGATTTAAAGATCGAACTGCAAAGACTCTGGCACAAGGCAGTAAAGGTGGTCCCAGTGGTGATCGGCACACTGGGTGCAGTGCCTAAAAACCTTGGCCTGCACTTAAACACAATCGGCACTGACAAAATTACCATGTGTCAGCTACAAAAGGCCACCCTACTGGGATCTGTACGCATTATTGGGAAGTGTCCAACATGTGATCCAATACAACAGCCAGCATAGCGATTTTGTTTGCTGTGTACTAATCTTGTTATGTATCTAATAATAATAATAATAATAACCCTGCCTCCATCTCCCCGAAGGGATTCGGGGCAGCTTACATAGGGACAAGCCCGGAAAAAACACAGGTTAGACACGACACAATGGAATAAAATCAATATACTCGAAAATAAAATAAACACATCACAATATCACAACACAATATCATAAAAACAGTCTCTAGCCTGATCTGTAATAGATACTGAGCTCGGAGGACTAAGAGTATGTGAAATAGTTTCAGGACAGGGCTAATGGATAAGTGCAAAATCCGATAAAAGTTAGGGCTGGAAGGGTAACGTCATTTGGTATTAGAATGCCATATCTATAGGGCAGAGAGCAGTGCTAAAGTGCAGGAGGTGTTGGTAAATTACAGCTGGGGGAGCATTTATCTGATGAACTGTTTAGTCATTGGCGCAGTGGGACATCCATGTTTTTAAGTTCTTACGAAAGGTGGACAGGGTGAGTGCCAATCTAATCTCCCTAGGAAGGGAGTGCCTTACAATGCATACAATTCCAAAATATTAATATTATATTAAAATTAATAATACATATATTACACATTTAAAAACATTCCATTCCATATTAAAATCATGCCATCCATAATCATAGTGCTTTCTGCTAATGCCAAACTCTTGGTCTCTTGCGTTGCAGTATGTGTTTCGTTGAGCCGCCCCCCCCCCCCATTGTTTAAAAGGTGCATCACTAATTATAATTAGAATACCTTATGTTTTAAAGGGTGCTGAGCTTGGAAATAAACAAGGACAAGTATGTAGAAAGGATCCATGAAAGTGGCGTCAATACCTTGGATATTGAACATATTGAAAATCGATAGTACGTATACTCTGATTTGTTTTATGATAAAGCATATTTTAAAATATTCTTACTTTTTATGTTCCCTAAATGAATATGGTAACAAAATACAGTCTTTCTCTTGTTATAATTGTTACAATATTTTTAATGCATAGAGCTCCCGGTGACGCAGCAGATTAAACTGCTATGCTGCTGAACTTGCTGACTGAACTTACTGGTTCGAATCTGGGGAGCTGGGTGAGCTCCCGCTGTTAGCCCCAGCATCTGCCAACCTAACAGCACTCCATACAGTCATGCCGGCCGCATGACTTTGAAGGTGTCTACGAACAACGCCAGCTTTTCGGTTTAGAAATTGAGATGAGCACGAACCCCCAGAATCGGACACAACTAGATTTCACGCCAAGGAAAAACCTTTACCTTTTTACCTTTTAATGTGTGGATTTATAAAATTTTGCAGCTTGCTACCATTGAAGTTAATGCTGTTCAGCAGAACCAGTTATCTTCAAATTGGACATTTCCAACACTGAAACTAGCATTTTCAAGACAGTTGTCTTGAAACCGTATATGTGTATTGGAATTTGTGGTTCTCTGGATATGCTAAAGATTGAATGTTAGCAGACTTTGCATATTTAAAAAAATACAGATTGAGCATCCTTTATCTGGAATTTCAAAATCAAAAATACTCCAAAATCATCCACATGGGAAGTTGAATAGTGACACCTATTGCACCTCAGCTAGGGTTGGCAGAAGCTGGGCCGAACAGCAGGAGCTCACCTCCCTGAATTTGAAAGGCTGACATTTCAGTCAGCAAGCTCTGAAGCTCACTATGTTATTTTAGCTTATAAAATTATAATTGCATGTTTTAATTTTGTTCACTTAACATACAATATGCGTAATCAGGTCCTAATCAGTTTAACACAGGACTTTTGTTATCTAAGTGAGGCATTCCAAATATTGTTGGAAGTTAACTTCCAGCATACTTCACCGTTGGTTATGCTAACTAAAGGAGAGGGGAAAATATTTGAACTTACCATCCCTAATTGAGTTTTTAATCTTAACATTTTATTGGATTTAGGACTGTATTTTTAAAAGGCAGAATTTATTGTTTCAGAATGGATTTTTAATTTGTTTCCTTACAGTATGTTATCAGGTGGTTCAGATGGTGTAATTGTACTATATGACCTTCAGAACTTGAGCGGAAATTCATGCTATACCTGTAAAGCAGTTTGCACTGTGGGAAGGTATGTATTCTTTACAGGATCAACTGCTATAAATATATTTTCATTTTTGTTATCTATTTTAGTTTATAGCCAATAAGTGGGGTATTTTTCAGCATACAAAGTCCTAAGCAAATGAGGGTCATAGTATCTAAGTCTGCCTCATCTGTATAAGACTGTCTGAAATTTGAAATTCTCAGTAGAGTCACTTTGTATGCGGCCAAGTTGATGAAAAGTTTCCCTTTTATCAAATAATTATCATTTCTGGAAGTATTTTCCAAAGGGCATTAGGCTGTCCCATAACTGTATTGTTCCATGTGCTCCTTGATTCTTAGAACAAGTTTTAAGGTTGTCTTTTGGCACATGTCTTAATGTTATTTTTAAAGTGTTCAGATAGGTTTTCAGCTGGAAACTCATTGTGGGATCATGGGCAAGTCGTATTCCATAACTTGAGGGTGCACAACAGCAATAGCAAATGTGATGATTACCCTGAGAGATGAGAGTGGATAAGTAACCGCATTTAATTTAATATCATAATGACCTAATTTTAATCAAGCACCTGTTACAGTACTAATTAGAGTCTAAATGGCCAGAGTAACAGGGGCACAGACTTTTTTTAAGTAACCAATTTGCTATCTGAAGCAAATAAGATTAAATTTATGAAATGTTACACATGTTTCCTACATGAAAGGGGTGGGCAAAATGCAGCCCTTGGGATATTGTTGGGCTTCAGCTCTCATCAGCCCTAGCCAACATACCCAATTGGGTGGAATGCTGGGAATTGCAATCCAGTAACTTCTGGGGGGCTGCCCTTACCAGTTCATAGGGCCTCATCCCATGAGCAGCAGGTAAGCAGTGGAAAGCAGAAGGAACAGTGTTACACTTGAGGATATTTAGGTCCTTCCTTTAGGTCATTATTTGAAAAAAGCAGAGATGGACTCTTTACTTGGAAAGTGTCTGTGTTTATCCAATGATGAACAGGAACAGGGGAATGTGCAAGGAGAAAGTGTTCTTCCTTCTGCAGTTTCTCCTGATAATCTTTGAAGAGGAAGACGTGACTTCAACAGATAGGAAGGAATCGAGAGGACAACCTATGGAGAAATTAATCTTTTGAGATCACTTTTTCCTTCTTCAATAAACATAATCTTTTTCTTTCCTTTCTGTAAGAAAGGTTCAGCTTTGTGAAGTCCCATTCTCGGCAATGACTGCCAATCTAGCTCCCCATACATAAAAGCCAGATTCCAGGTTTCTTGTGACCAGTACTACTTTAATTCTTTTGCCTCTCTACTTTCCGTAATGGAATGGGTTTTCTAAGACAACAAACCGTGACATTTCCATTTTACTTTACTATAGGCATCCTTCTGTTTCCTTATTGTCCCCATTCCATTTTGCCATTGTAGACACCAAAAATTATTTTCAAGAAGGTTTCTGCCCCCACTGCTCTGGATGTACGTTCCCAGCCTGTGGTGTTCCAGATGTTGTAGAGTCTAACTTCCAGAATGCCTAACATTTGAGCTGTGCTGACAGAGGGCCCATCCACACAGCCCTATATCCCAGAATATCAAGGCAGAAAATCCCACACTAACTGAGTGTGAACTCAGATAACCCAGTTCAAAGCAGATATTATGGGATTTTCTGCCTTGATATTGTGGGATATAGGGCTCTATGGAAGGGCCCTGAGGCTTTTGAGCTTTGAAGTGCCGCTTCACTGTAGAATTAATGCTGTTTGATGCCACTTTAATGGCCATGGCTGAATCCTACAGAATCATGGGATTTGTAGCTCAGTGAGGCACCAGCATTCTTTGCAGGGAAAGCTAAAGACCTTGTAAAAATACTACTCCCATGGTTCCATAGCGGTTAAAGTGGCGTCAAACTGTGTTAATCCAACAATATAGATACACTTTGAAATCAAAAACATCTGAAAGATCAGAGACTGAGGGCCCTTCCACACTGCACTTTATCCCAGAATCTGATCCTAGATTATCTGTTTTAAACTGGAATATATGTTTCCACTGCCGGGTAATCTGGGATAAACAGATAATCTGGGATCAGATCCTGGGATAAAGGAGAAGTGTGAAAGGGCCCCTAGAAACCTGATGTAGGGCGTTTCCACACAGTGCTATAGCCCAGAATATCAAGGCAGAAAATCCCACATTGTCTGTGTGTGAACTCAGATAACCCAGTTCAAAGCAGATTTTGTGGGATTATCCGCCTTGATATCCTGGGATATAGGGCCCATAGTGATCATGGATGGGGAAAATAGGATGATCTGGAGGAAACGTGGACTACAATTCCTTTAGTCCAGGTGAGCACAGACAGAGGTAAAGGATGGTGGGAGGTATAAGATCTGAAAGGCCACAAAAATCCCCTACTTTAGCTCTGTTTCCCTGACACTGCAATGGCATCCCTGAAGAGATGTGCTTCTTAGACCCTTACAAGGTTTTATCTTTTATTTCGGGATATTCAGGTTTATTGCATAGAAATATGACAAGTTGTTACTGCCTTTTGTCTACATTGTCTTTCTATGGTTGTGTTGCAGAAGCCACCCCGATGTTCACAAGTTCAGCGTTGAGACAGTTCAGTGGTACCCCCATGACACTGGCATGTTTACATCAAGTTCCTTTGATAAAACACTGAAAATCTGGGACACAAATACATTACAAGTAAGTAAAATTGAATTATTGGATCCAGTAATAGAAGATACTTAGCAATTTCATTGTCAAATTGTTTCCCAGCTCAATGACGTATTTGCATTCCAGCACACCTTGTTTTCACAAGAGGGTGGATGTATTTGGAGGATTGCTCAGGCAGCACTTACAGCAGGATAAAGCTAATTCATTGAATGAAGCCATTTTGTAAAGATTACTTGGTAATATTAAGTGAGCCAACTATAGTGCAGGAAGACAGTAGAAATGCTAGAGATTCCCTCCCTGCAGTTCCTTTTTTTTAGTCCAAATTATTGTTTCATTCATGATTAACTTATAGTTTTCCTGTCGCTTTCTCTTTTTCTGTCCATAATGAATGTTTTAATTCATACTGAATGTTACTCATACTGAAGGTATTTTATGCTGCTACTTTAGTTAGTAGGATTGAATTAACTGTTGCAGCATTAATCCTCAGGTCAAGATGTACCAATACAAGTGTGTGACTCCTTCCTTGACTTTGATGGCACTTACAAAACTGTGGCTTAATGTTACATTTTAATTTGTTCATTTGTAATTATTGTGTGGGAAAGGATTCTTAATGTCTTGTTAGGATTTAAGTTTCAAGTAGGAGCTTAACCAACATGTTGTCTTTCAACTGACAGCCTGCAGATGTGTTTAATTTTGAGGAAACTGTATACAGTCACCATATGTCTCCTATTGCTACCAGGCATTGCTTAATTGCAGGTTTGTATTCATTTCTGCTTCTTCTTTTGAATGCCACATTTATTTTAAGTGGTAATAGGTATAAGCAGCTTATGCAAAGACTCCCTTCCAGTTTGATCCAGATATGTCATCCCACATTAGATCATTAACATGATAAGAACATTCTAACATCTGGTTTCTTAGTAACCATTGATTATTGCAAAATATTGCCTTTTAAGCAAGGGATATTATAAGTCTGCGGATTTTAAAAATTTCTTCATTGGGTGTTGGTATTGTGTCTCATTTAAAATTACACAATGTGGTGGCTGAAAGAAAGTTCTGTGGATACCCTGGATAAAAAGATAAATAAATTGGTCCTAGAGAAAATAAAGCTTAATTTTTTCCTAGAAACCAAGATGACAAAACTCATTCTGTTGAACATGAAAAGAGAGGACTCACTAGAAGGGACAATCATGGGGATGATTGGGGGATGCCTCGCTCGAGAGCAGTACGTGTGAAAATGATCCCATTGGCTTTTTTGTTGTCCTCGTGGACAACAAGTTAAACATGAGCCAACAATGTGATGTGGCGGCAAAAAAAAGCCAATGGGATTTTGGCCTGCATCAATAGGAGCATAGTGTCTAGATCTAGGGGAGTCATGCTACCCCTCTATTCTGCTTTGGTTGGACCACACCTGGAATATTGTGTCCAGTTCTGGGCACCACAATTCAAGAGAGATATTGACAAGCTGGAATGTGTCCAGAGGAGGGCGACTAAAATGATCAAGGGTCTGGAGAACAAGCCCTATGAGGAGCGGCTTAAGGAGCTGGGCATGTTATCCTGAAGAAGAGAAGACTGAGAGGAGACATGATAGCCATGTATAAATATGTGAGAGGAAGCCACAGGGAGGAGGGAGCAAGCTTATTTTCTGCTTCCTTGGAGACTAGGACGCGGAACAATGGCTTCAAACTACAAGAAAGGAGATTCCATCTGAACATGAGGAAGAACTTCCTGACTGTGAGAGCCGTTCAGCAGTGGAACTCTCTGCCCCGGAGTGTGGTGGAGGCTCCTTCTTTGGAAGCTTTTAAACAGAGGCTGGATGGCCATCTGTCGGGGTGATTTGAATGCAATATTCCTGCTTCTTGGCAGGGGGTTGGACTGGATGGCCCATGAGGTCTCTTCCAACTCTTTGATTCTATGATTCTATGATCATTCTTGGAAAGGTAAAAGGCAGTAGGAAGAGAGGACGACCACAATACAGATTGATAGACTCAATTAAGGAAGTCATCTCTCTGAATTTGCCATGCCTCAGGCAGGACTAGTGATAAGAGAAAGACTTGGAATTTTTATTATTATCGAGTCACCATAAACTGAGACTGATTTGATGGTGGTTAAGAGAAAATAGTGTGGTTACTACTAAGAAAATTGGCTCTCCTGATCACAGCAGAACATATTTCTGACTCAAAAGTCATAGGACTGTGCTACTTCAGTATTTGCCTAGCTATCACGATGCCTAGACATTTCTATAGTAAAGGTAAAGGTTTTCCCTTGACATTAAGTCTATTCATGTCCAACTTGGGGGTGGGGGTGTATGCTCATATCCATTTCTAAGCCGAGGAGCTGGCATTGTCCATAGGCACCTCCAAGGTCATGTGGCAGGCATGACTGCATGAAGCACCGTTACCTTCCTGCCGGAGTAGTATCTATTGATCTACTCAAATTTACATGTTTTCAAACTGCTAGGTTGGCAGAAGCTAGGCCTAACAGCGGGAGCTCACACCGCTCCCTGAATTCGAACCGCTGACCTTTTGGTCGACTCAGCAGCTCAGCAGTTTAACCAGCTGCATTACCGGGAGCTCCAGACATTTCCATATGGTTATATAAATTAAAATATACGTCATGTTTGATATGGGATTAGGAAAAATGAAAGAGTTCATCTCTATTTCCTTGACCTGCTCTTGTACCACCTCCAAATAAAATGTTCAGTGTAAATATGCACCAGTAGTTCTTGTTTTCATTGATCAGTGTTTCAGATTCAGCAATGGTTGAGTGTCAAGAGAATTGTTTAGCTCAGGGATGATTCAGATGGGTTAAATTAATATTAAAAGTAGTTTTCAATATTGTATAGTATACAACCAGCAGAAGCTGACTTTTTCTTTCCATTCTTTTGATAACCAATGCTTAAATGTGCTTCAGTTCTTTAATAAATTCTTGTCTTTTTTCTATTACAGTTGGTACCAAAAGCCCCAAAGTACAGCTTTGCGATTTGAAGTCTGGATCTTGTTCTCACATCCTGCAGGGTATTTCTTTATTGGAAACATAAAAATTCAACAATAACTACTTTGAATAAACTTCACTGTGCAAAGAACTGCTCTGAACGCTGTGTTCTTTGTAAGAAACATAATTGATGTGTTTAGTTCCATCTTTCAAAATGACTCCATAGATTAAGGTCCTCTTCTGTGTATGATTATGACACTGTGGCTCAATAGAAATGGAAGTGTTGCCATTATTAACACTGTTAGCTATTTTTTTCAGTTTTACTTCATTAAAATACATAGTAGGGAGTTTTCTTTCCAGATAGTGAAAATAAGTTAGCTTTTCGCAGTAACTAGTGATAATAGAAATGGTAGTCCACTACATCGGGAGTTCTCCAGATGCAAAGTCTTGTGTTAGATATTTTTGTTAGAGCACATTGGACTATAGCTAGTGAATCTCGACTATATAAACCACAAAATTAACATTTCCATTACAGAAAATGAGTATTTGTAGGGGGATATTTTAGATTTCTAGGCATGAAGCATATAGTACAGGAGAGAGGAACCTTGTTTGTTGATTTACTCCATAATCAATCTGTTCTTGATCCAGGAGAGGGAAAACGGAGAAATATAAAGAATCAAAGATTTGCTAGTGAAAGTGATTCTAGAACATGTTGAAGTCAGTAAGACCAAGTCAGTTTACAGTAGCTGATGGATAGCAAACTATCTCGAATACTTGTAGAGGATTTATTAGGGAGTGATTAAAAATTCGGAAATAGCTTATTTGTAAATTGAAAGATGTTCCTTTTATATTCAGTATTGTATTTGAATAGCATAACTAAAAAAAGGTTTACTAGCTGAACAATCCATCTAAGGCAGAGAATGAACGAAACCTTTTTTTCTGTGAATGCAGAAAGTCATAACCTCAATTGTTATAAATTAAAAGCACCCCAAAAAGGAGAACTGCCAAGAAGTTCAGATGAGAGACTGCATTCCCTCTGCCAGCAGAATGAATATTACTAAGCTGTGGCATCAAGTGACCTATCTAATTATAGGGCTTTTTATGCTGTTCTTTGCAAATAATAAGATAGGGATTGCTAATCAGGAGTGAGCAAGCTGGTGCCTTCAAAATATTTTGCATCCTCCTCAGCCAGTCAATCAGTCTGGCCAGTAGCTGTCGATTATGGGAATTATAATCTAAAATATCCGAATGACAATGTGTTTATCCTTGTAATTGTACATCTGGTTTAATTTTCAAATGTACAAATACCATGAAACATAATCCCTTCCTATGTGGACACAGTGCCAAAATACGATAGAAGCCCTGCCAGACAAAATAGGTGTGTACATTGAGACACATACTTAAGCGAATCAAGGCAACGAAAGGAATGTTAAGCCTATATATTTATGTGTTGTCGAAGGCTTTCATGGCTGGAATCTCTGGGTTGTTGTGAGTTTTCCGGTCTGTATGGCCATGTTCCTGAAGCATTCTCTCCAGATGTTTCACCCACATCTACGGCAGGCATAGATGTGGGCCTGCCAAAGATGTGGGCGAAACATCAGGAGAGAATGCTTCTGGAACATAGCCACACAGCCTGGAAAACTCATAGCAACCCTATATATTTATCATTTGCTAGCTGTTTTTTTCTTTGCTTGGTCTCACAAGGGAAAATTTTATGCTGGGAATATGAGGATTGTGTAAAGGAAATACACTTTGTCCTGATGTTTTGTCTCCTTTACACAAATAGGGAGAAATAACTCTGTTAGGGCTCTTTTGAGATGGACTATGCCAAAATTGATGGCATGTAAGTGATCCAATGCACACATCTAAGGATTCATGTGTTTTCATATTTTTAGGTCACAAACAGGAAGTTCTAGCAGTATCTTGGTCACCACGTTATGAGTACATTTTAGCAAGTGCAAGGTAAGAGAGAGAGAAAAAGTACAGGTTGAGTATCTGTTATCTGAACATCTAGATTGCTCCACAATTCAAAATTGTTCACAAGGATGGCTGGGATAGTGACAACTTTGCTCCCTGCCTCAAGCCATGAAGAGAGGCCGGCAATCAATATAATGTATTATTATTATTATTATTATTATTATTATTATTATTATTTCTTCTGATAGTGTACAGAAATTTGTTTCATAAACAAAATTATTAAAAATACGTATTAAATTACCTTCATAGAATCATAGAATAGAATCAAAGAGTTGGAAGAGACCTCATGGGCTATCCAGTCCAACCTCCTGCCAAGAAGCAGGAATATTGCATTCAAATCACCCCTGACAGATGGCCATCCAGCCTCTGTTTAAAAGCTTCCAAAAAAGGAGCCTCCACCACACTCCCGGGCAGAAAGTTCCACTGCTGAACGGCTCTCACAGTCAGGAAGTTTTTCCTTATGTTCAGATGGAATCTCCTCTCTTGTAGTTTGAAGCTATTGTTCCGCGTCCTAGTCTGCAACAATGGCTTCAAACTACAAGAGAGGAGATGTGTGTAGAAGTGTTTATGAAACATACTTTATTTTCCTGTTTTGATTTAGAGCCCATCTCAAAGAAATCTCATTATGTATATGTAAATATACCCAAATATCCCAAAATACAAGCATTTCAGAGAAGGGCTCCTCAACCTGTAGTAATAATTAAAATAAAAGTTACCTATTTTTTCTACATTTGTTAGTAGTTTTGTAATTCTAAATTGAAACATGACTAATTTCTCTTCGTTTATGTTTGATAAGCCTTTCAATTGGAATGCGAATGTAGTTTTTTAATTTGAATGATCAGTATTTATGTAAGGAACATGAAAGTAAATGCTAAAATTATTATGATAACCTGCATATTTGCTCAAAGAAAAAGAAAGGTTTTTAACTCATCATAAAACTAATTTAGAACTAAATATATGTATTTGGTTGTCATAGCTAGACAAAAGGGAATTGAATATATTAAATCATTAAACATCATAGAATATGTAGTTCTCTGAGTTTATGGATGCGATTTACCTATTTTTGTGGTAATTGTTTCATTTTTATGTTCACTGTTTTAAATGTTTTAAATACTTTGAGGATTCACGTCACACATGTAGCTGATCAATCAGTAAAGATGCAGCTATTAAATTTGTTGTTGAAGGCTTTAATGGCTGGAATCACTGGGTTGCTGTGAGTTTTCTGGCCTGTATGGCGATGTTCCAGAAGCATTCTCTCCTGATGTTTTGCCCACATCTAATACCTCCCAACAAAGGATCCCCTTAAGCAGCAACTAGCCAGGCTTTGAAGCTGCAAGCCCATTAAATTCTAATCAGTGTGGCCAGTTGCAACATTTACACTTGCCACAAACAAACAAGAGTTCTTTCTCCCACCCTGGACATTCTACAGATATATAAACCTCACTTGCCTAGTTTCCAACAGACCTCTCAACCTCTGAGGATGCCTGCCATAGATGTTGGTGAAACGTCAGGAGAGAATGCTTCTGGAACATAACCATACAGTTCAGAAAATTCTCAGCAACCCAGCTATTAAATTGTTACTTCTCAGAGCAAGGAGATATTTGTGTTTCATGTTTTGTTGTTGTCCCCTCAATTCATAATGAAGTGCATGGCACATGTGCTAAGAAACGGATCATTGCTGAGATCCAGAACATTTAGGGGTTTTTCTCCTGTTATAGGCACACAATATAGTTAGGGACATCCTTTACACTTTGGAAAATTAACAGCTGATTTGCACTTTAAGTGTGGAGGTCCATTTTATTGTATGTGGATAACAGAAGAAAACGAAGAAAGAAATTTGAATCCAAAATAAACACATCAGTTGTGACTTTGTTAGAATGCACTGAAACAATTGCTCTTCTTTGTAAATTAATATAGGCATTTTCTTCTTTTGTTTCCCTCCTAGTGCTGACAGTAGAGTGAAGTTGTGGGATGTGAGGAGGGCTTCTGCTTGTCTGCTTACTCTTGATCAACATAATGGTGAGAAGTCAAAAGCTTCTTCTGAAGCAGGTAATTAGTATTTTTTGGCAGCACACTTCATATCAGTGTTATAGGATTAGTATCATGCATTTTCGCATCGTATCAAAAGGGATCCGGTGGCTCAGAATGGGTAACTTGGCGAGTGCTGTCATTCCTCCACTTTTCCTGGTGTTGGGGTGCAAGACCTTCGTGAAAGTGGAAAAACCATAGATTTGGGGCGAAAGCCTTTTTTCACATAAGAGAACATCACTCTACATATCCCAGCAAGACACTATGAGTAGCTTCAAATAGAATAGAATGAAATAGTTTTGGAGGAACTATAGATAAATGGAGATTTGTTCTCTCTAGGAGTCTATATCTTCCAGAATTACTCTATAGGTAACTTCAATTGGAAGTCAATCATAGAATTGCACTGGAGGGCCTAGAGATTTCTACTGAGACCATAATAATAATAAACTTTATTTATACCCCGCCACTATCTCCCCAATGGGGACTTGAAGCGGTTTACATGGGGCCAAGCCCGGACAACATGTTACAGCAAAATAAAACCAGAACATAAACAACAAGCAACATCATCAAAATTACATAGGGAAAAAAAGTATAAACACAGTAACAAAATAACATTCCAGTAAACACAATCACGATAACATATGTACAGGATAAAATGATTTAAAAACTCTAATGAGATAAAAATAGGAGCAGGTTATTTGCAGGGAGCTCATAAAAAACACTCAGGGTTGTGGAACTAACTATTCATCAAACCTGTGAATAATCAAACCTACAAAAGTGAAATCTAATACACAGCCAACTGCACTGAGAACTAAATGCAAATCAATCTCTCTCTCTCTCTGTCTGCCTATCTGTCTATTCATATACACACAGATGCATGAAAGGTAAAGCTTTCCCCTGACATTAAGTCTAGTTGTGTCCAACTCTGGGGGGGGGGGGGGGGCTCATCTCCATTTCTAAGCCAAAGAGCTGGTGTTGTCTGTAGTCGCCTCCAAGGTCATGTGACCAGCATGACTGCATGGAGTGCCGTTACCTTCCCGCAGAAGCGGTACCTATTGATCTACTCACATTTGCATGTTTTCGAACTGCTAGGTTGGCAGAAGCTGGGGCTAACAGCAGGAGCTCACTCCCTAGATTCAGACCACCAACCTTTTGGTCAGCAAGTTCAGCAGCTCAACAGCTTAACATGCTACGCCACCAGGGGGCCCTTACACATAAATATAAGCAGACACACATATAAAACTATATTTTATTTTAAAAAACAATTTGCAGCCTTTGTCTTAATTCCGTGTAGTCATCCACCTACTTTCCAGAGCTTTCTGCGAGTTGGCAAGAGTGAACTTTATGTGAGATGGAAAGAGGCTCTTTTCATGGAAACCCCATCTGGGCCAAAAAAAAAAAAAGGGACCGGGTTTGAGAGAGGGAGCTGCAGGGAGGAAAAGAGTGATTCCTGCCCACTTGGGGCTGTGTCTCATCCTACCACTGGGTTGTAGCTCTGCCCACAGCCAGCAAATGTCCTTTAAGAGATTACCCCCATTACAATGTGGTTGACAGAAAAAAGTGCCCCAAACCTGTTTTAAATCTCTGTGGTTATGATTACTCAAAAATCTGTATGTCTTTCAGGTACATGAGTGAATCATTTAAACTATTGTTTCAGTTTGATAATTGAGGATGTGTCAAATTATGTCTTAGTGAAACTAAGGGAAGATGAACCTGATGAAATTTGATTGGATTATACTCTTGTGTCCCTGTTTCTACTCCCACCCCACAAAAACTCAGATTACTAGAATCCTGTTACTAATCCTTATCTGTATTCATAGTGTTTATTTCCACTGTGATTTTCAGATTGCTCATCATTGCCTTTGTTAATTGTGATTGGGAATCATAAGAATTCTAAGCTCAGTAAACTTGAATTAATTACAGCAATAATCTTCAGCTTTTTGGGACTACTTTTCACCAAATCTCTGCTTTCTCTTTTTACTCCATATGCCTTTTCTTCTTGATTTTCTTTCTCTCTTAGGATTAGAATACTAATCAATTTATCAGTCATGATTGAATAAATAAGGGGTTTTTGTAACGTATTTCTCCTCCCATTGCTGTATCGGCTTATTGTATATCATTGTAATAAAGCATTTAATGTTTACCTGTGTCTGCTTATATACCGTAGTCCCCTCGGGGAAAAGGGCAAAATATAAATAAAGTGTTGTTGTTGTTGTTGTTATATAAGGCCCTTCTGGTGGCCCAGTGGGTTAAACCACTGAGCTGCTGAACTTGCTGACCAGAAGGTTGGCAGTTTGAATCTGGGGGGCAGGGTGAGCTCCCACTATTAACCCCAGCTTCTGCCAACCTAGCAGTTCAAAAACATGCAAATGTGAGTAGATCAATAGGTACCACTTCTGCAGGAAGGTAACGGTTCTCCATGCAGTCATGCTGGCCACATGACTTTGGAGGCATCTATGGACAACTCTGGCTCTTTGGCTTAGAAATGGCACCACCCTTCAGAGTCAGACACGACTGCACTTAATGGCAGGGGAAACCTTTACGTTTACCTTTACTTATTATATTACTGGGGCCAATGTTTTTAAACTGTACGTAAACTGGAATTAGTGATGAAGAAACGAGGTGGCCAAGTTCACTGCTGATGGAAAAATTATTTAGAATAGTTAAAACAGCTAAAAAAAATACTGGAGACTTGTCTCTAAAATTAAAATGCATTTCAGTACAAGTAAATAAATAGATATTAGGGCAAAAAAATCCCAAGATATATTTAAAATTTAAATACAGATAACAAATATGCCGATGGAATCTACATTGGTAATGACTGATTAAGAAAGAGGTCTTGGTCTTGTGATAGAATTAAGATCATTCAATGAAAATGCCAATTTGCTATGCAATTTAACAAATTAAATAATTAGAAAAGCAAAAATATTGATATGTAATATTTATGCACCAAATGGTCCAAAAACAAAATTTGTTGAATTTCTGAACTCCA